ATCAATACAAAGATTATAAGGTAAGGGATCTATTCAAGAGCTTGATCTATTGTAAATGGATCCGCAACATCAGGGCACAGAATTTATTCATTACATTTTGGCAACACACTAATACCTGAGTATCAAAGTATAGGTACCACCACTATATGAAAAGAACATCACACATTACAAAATTCAGGCCCGACGTTTGCTATCTGAGCATGCAAAATGGTTCTACAATGCAATCAGCCATAGCATTTCACAGGGAAGTACCATGTGTGCATATTGATGTTCATATTGTTTGTTCCCTATAATTTTCACTAACACGGCCACCTTCAATATCTTACAGAGCTGTTAGGGGTTGCATGTTTTTTTCTTTGAGAGTAACTCGTCAACAGACCTAGACCCGTCAAGATATCTAACCTCATCCGTGTTCACACACTAGCTGTGATATTTAATTTGCAGCCACTGCCGCCATGTGGCGCTGTCGTTCCTTCTCAAGTCTGACTGCGACTGCAGCAACCAGGCCTGCTCCTTTACCACTGCCATCATCAGCCCGAATAATCTTGCACTAGAAAAATAACAACATGATATAATAGTAAACATAATATATAAGTATAACTTACTAGTCTCAATATTATTAGAACAAATATCAACCTACTTTGATAATCATAATTATATTAACATGTATACACCTACTAAAACTTGCTAGGTACATGTTCACAGGTGTTATTCATTATTGTTTTCCTATCAACACAGAAATAGACACTAGATGATATCATGTTTTGTTCAATCATGTTCCATGCAACCTCTTCTATTGTAATGCGGGTTCTTCTTACAGATTGCTTTCACGTTGTTTTTTGGAAAACGCGATATTTTCAGAAATTTAGTAACCGTCTCTTTTATGAAGAATGCATTGAATGTACGTAGTAGCATACCTTGTATTTGGGTGCAAATTGCTCAATCTTCCTCATTATGAGTTGATGAAGTCGGGCGTGATGCTTGTACACGGACCCATCGACAGCAATGGTCACGTCAGGCTCTTGCATCCGATTGAGTAACACAGCCATGCCTAGTATAACCAAAAACACATGACTATTATCAATGTACAACTCCCTATTTTTTCCTATTTCGAAAGTAATCTATCCAAACTATCTAGCATTATCTGCATTGTGTCAAACTCAATCTTGGACTTTCCTTAACATCGCCCAATCCATTAATTCTACAAACTATACATGCAAAAAAAGCTCGACTATGACACGACCTGCCGATATGATTTTCAAGGCTTTATATTTTTATAAACCCACATGTAAACATGACCACATTGAGCACTCATTAGATATTGGTAGAATCGAACTTGCTGACTTGAAAATCAATGACAGTTGTGTCAGTCAAATGTGCGATTATATGGTAAGATTTATTACACATCCTTCCTTCTCGATTAATTTGAAATTGAAAATATAAACTATTTACACAACAGAGTATTTATCTAGCATATTTCACACGTACGTGTGCTAGATATGGTTGTGCATGCTTACAGGAGCCAACTAAGAATCCGCCTCTCTCTGAAACGAGAGCACAGACGTGCTTGATGATGGCGATGTCATCTTTACCACCATGCTCAAGCAGTTTCATCTCCTTCAGCAGATTGCGAGTGTTTTCATCGGTCTTCTCTCTATGTAAATGAGAAGAACACTTTCAGAGACAATGTTAAGAAAAAGGAAACTCTACAATCAGTTCAATGAGGAGTCTCTGCACTAAGTTTTATTCTAATTTTTACATTTTTCCTGTCCATCATCTATTATGGAAACATGGTCATCTAATTGCTCACTCAAATAAACAATTATGTAACCCAACATTGACACATAAACACTAATACACGTTATACCACATCTTTTATAAAAACATACACTAAAAACTTGCACCACCTTTTGAAATTTTAACAAGAAGTACTACTTATGAAGTATACACCGTTCATATAATGTGGACATGAGTGCTCTGTTGTTATCATCCGACCAACATGGCACTATGCACGTATCAGTCAGCACAATCACAACCACTGCCTCTAACACTAATCTTACACACTAAAGATGGTCAACCACTAGGAAAAAACTGACTGCCATTGTAGTTACCCATCGATGAAAGCAACGTGCTCTGTCTTTAGGCCCCATCGCTGATTAATTTCATTAGAGGATGTCCCGCCAAACAGTAGGCCCTCGGATATAAGCTTTAGCATGGTGAGGCGTACCACTTCTCCCAGATAGTGGCCCGAAAACATCTTCTCAAAGCTGCCCATAGTATATGTAGTAATGCATATAGAAAATGTTAAAAATCCATCTACGATACAGATGACTATACTAGTGTGTAGTCATGAACTTTGAAAATGTTCAACATGAAAAGGTGAAGATTTATGTTACAATGAGAAACAATGATTTTTTGCCAATGTTGCTCTAGATAGTTACTCAAGTTAGCTCAGATAGCAGGAGAAGTACAGTGACCACATGCGTTATTGAATCAATCCAAGTGTCACTTTCAACAGTGTTTATTGTGACTATAAAGGTGCACATTGGAATTAACAATAGGAGGTTAAAAAAGCACTAAGTTCTCATATCGGTGCACATACGTAAACGAATGCACGTGGTTTGAAACTTGGTCCACTTCGAAGTCGTATTCAGTCTTGAAGAAATCCAGTACGCCATTGTCTCCGAATGCACCCATCTCTGTGTCAATAAGAACCTAGCACACGATGACATGGAATAGAGGCACATCGTGAAGATCACTGAAGTAGAACTGAAGACATCTCTTTCTACTAACAACCCCTGAAGAGAGAACTTGCTTGAATATGTTTTACGTAGGTTGTAATAACAGTTTTTATTACCGGTAACACTCTGAAAACCACACTGAAGGCAGCACCATCCATGCAGTTATAGGTGTTGCAGTAGTCACCACGACAACAACCTGTTACTCGCTAACCTGCCGTGGTTCTTCATAATCACCGTCCCATTTCTCCACATTCTCAAGTTTCTCCACATAGCATGCATTAAATCCTGTACCTGGAAAGGACAACAACCACATTTTAATGCAAGTGATTTCCCATTCTTACTCCAGTCCACCACTCACCCATACCAATGATCTTCTGAATACTATAGTCCAACACGCAAAACACAACATACAATGTGGTGCAGCAATCTTAGAAAATGCCAGATCAGAGTTATTCTTCATGCGTTTAATAACGTGCAAATATATTCTCTATATATAATTTTCCTCACCGAGAATTACTCCCACTCTGCACTTTTCATCAAGATATGCTCCAGCCATGAGTGTTCCCGTTGTATCATTGACAATAGCCACGACTTCTATATCCATACCCTGGAAACAATAGCAGCTGTCATTGCTTTTATATGAACAATTTCTACAGTTAGAAACTTTCCCAGTATTGGATTGGAAATCATCTCAATATAAATCAGGCACGTTACTACTACATAAACATTCAAATGATCCAAAAAGATTTTATTTTCCACAATTCAAAATAATTAATGTACCCAAAGGCCCACTGAATGACCTAGCTGTCTCAGTGAGAAAACAACCCTCCCCCACCCCACCCCTGGATATGGTTACTAAGTGAGGCAGGTTCACCCAGTTTGTATGTGGTTTTGCGCATGTGCACTACAAAATGTCAACTTAACAGCACTTTGTTTACGCATTCTCTTGTCTTAAGAATGTTCTATCACATTGGTGACTGGTTATAGAGCTACCTGCCAATCATACCGGGCAGATAGGTCGGTAGTTTTAGGTGCTTACCCCACGAATTTTAATAGCATTCTCCAAGTGTTTGACAGCATCCTCCCCCACACACCCAGAGCACTTAAAACTCTTTGTCCACGTTATCAGTATGCCACACTTGAGACTTTTCTGTATCATCGGAAACGCCGCTGCCACTCTTTATCACAGCATCCTCCCCCACACACCCAGAGCACTTAAAACTCTTTGTCCACGTTATCAGTATGCCACAATTGAGACTTTTCTGTATCATCGGAAACGAGAAGGTAAAACCTACAAACGTGCAGATAGTCGCGTAAAATAACACACTCACAACAACTGACACACAGAATTATCAATATTTTTCAATATAAACCGTTGATCTGGTAATAACGACAGCACTGACATCCACCACTGGACATTTATGCATGCATGCACATATGTGTATGTAAGCCTGCTCACCAAGTGGGAACTTTTGTCCATGGAGATTATTCTCTTCAAGGAAGTCAAAAATTCTATCAGCAATATAAGCGAAAAGCTGTAAGTAATCAGAACACACACATCAGACAGTTTTATATGACAGTAATTTACCAATAGTGGCTAAGGCAAAAGCAGACTTCTTCTACTATCTATTATAGCGGACTATGTAGAATTAACAGCGTCCAACTACCAACTCAGTTATCACAGGACACCAGAGATCAATCAACTGTGGGTTATCAACAACCAGACAGTTTACACTGCATGAAAAGAAGCAACTGATAGAAGGTGTAATGTTTATGCTTGTAACTGTAGCGTAAGGTTCCTATAAGCTGGGAGTTTGATGAGGAAGATATTATATAGTATTATATTTATAATAGAGAACCAGAGAGAGAGAGAGAGAGAGATGAGAGAGAGAGAGAGAGAGAGAGAGAGCAGAGAGAAGAGATAGAGAGAGACGAGAGAAACAGAGAGAGAGAGAGAGAGGAGGAGAGACGAGAGCGTAGAGAGGAGAGAGAGAGAGAGAGAGAGAGAGAGAGAGGCAGAGAGAAGGCGACAGACTTTATAAAGAAGACACCAAAACCAAATCAGGACCTAATCCAAGCCATTATTTTTATACCGAATACTGGCGCCAAATTAGCGGCAGGCGGCTAGCAAAACACCAAAATTACAAAATTCATAAAACGCCCAAATATAGCAGAGCTCTGATGCAGATCTCACATGTTTCTATCGTATGTAGCAATGTTTTATAATAAAATGCTCATATAAGATCTATAATCTATTATCTGAATAAAATGTGTCGACCAAACGCCCAATTTAATGTGATAGATAAGTATATATATATAATTTGTTTAGGCTCGCTACGCTTGCCATGGGTGCCTATATTAAGCAGCTAGATTAGCCTCTGCAAAGATTCCAATACTTCTGTATCTATCATTTGTGGAGTCCTAGCTCGCCACAGTTTACTAACATTTAACAACATTATAGTTTTACACATGCACATCCACCCACCTGATCACCAGATCCAACCAATATAGCATCAGGAATGTCTGCCACCTTAAAAATCTCACTGTATTGGTGATTGTGGAGCCTAACTAGCAGAATTCTAAATCTTGTTCCACCAAGGTCAAGTGCTAAGAAGTCCCCTTCCTCTGTAAAAGTACATATCTCATGAAATAATGTGTTCCATTTCACACAATGCAATAAATAATTAACATATGATCAGGGGACGAATTTCGCAATTTTAGCCACTTGAAAAAAATCGCGAGTGCCTAAAAAATCTACGTGCTAAAATAAATTTTTTTGTACAACATAAACTACTTTTTGAATACTACATACACTTTTTGCATACTGTATAGCGTAAACAACGTACGGTAAATAACGGTGAATTGAAACTTGTTTAGGCAATTTGACTGACCAGTTTGACCATGCATTAATCATTAAATATATTCTTTCCATGTTCGACAGTGATAATGTACATATGCGGTGTATGCTATAAATTTCCACTCGCAGAAAATAGCAAGTGCTTATATTTTCTACTCGCAATTTCTCAATATCGCCACGCATTTTGCAAGTTAGCAAAAGGAAATTCGAGCCCTGATGATAGAAACTTGCATTTTTAACTATTAAAGTCTTTTCAGCGCTATGTTTACGATGCATATGATAGTACACTCCCGGGGGAGGGGAGGGGGCACTACCATTGTTAAAGGTACTGGGGACGTGCCACTGAACAGGGGATATTTTCCGAACGTCATTATTGGCACAGGGTTTATTTTCCGAGCATCATTATTGGCACAGGCCGTGTTATCCAGAGAGACCGGGTACAAGATGGCGTTGCGCAAAAGATGCGTTGTTCCCCGACCGCCGAGAGCGGTTAAGCCGCACACTTCCGCGGGACTGGGCGCACGCGACCGCGGGGTGTTGTATGTAGCATCACGCGCTCCCCACTATACGAATTCGCGTGCCGAAGGAAGGTGGGCGCGCGAATGCGTATAGCGGGCAGCCTAACATCGCGCAGTTTTCGGGACACGTACATCGGCTCGGCTACATCGGCTTGAGGAGGGCCGGTTCAATTATAGATGAGCACCGCGTTTGTACATCCTCGCCGTCGTAACCGTCACCGCTCGTTATTTTCTACCTTATCTGGCGTTCTCTCCACTCTCTTTGTCTCTCTTTCTCGCACTCCACGGTCTGTCTCTCTCTCTCTCTCTCTCTCTCTGCTTCGCTCCGCCGCCATCGGGTCATTCAGGATGCTATATATACATCATCAATGCTGCCCGCGCGACGGCCAGGCCACACAGCATTTGCAGCGTTTCAAATAAAATGAATGCTAATACAATCTGCCGCGGAGCCGACATGCCGCTCATCTAAACGTCTATGCGGTGACTCTGTGGTGGAGTGGTTGGAATTTCTGTAAACCCTGTTTAGTTCCAAATCTGTTCACTATACACGCCGAAAAGCAGTGTAAGGGCCACAGGGTTGTATCAGGAACCTCTCAAAGGAATTTTCGTTGGATCGTTATGAAAGTTGCGCCACGAAATGGTGCGTACATTTAAGTGTCTTCAGATAAAGATGGAGCCCAATCGTACGCGTAAGTAGTAACCAACCTATTGCAAGACAGAATAGGTTAAGCACCATCATTTCACTCTACGCAAGCCTACAGCTAAAAATAGAGAGCTGCCACCTGTCAACTAATTAAACGCAAAAAAAAAGGGCAAAAACTAACACAGTACCACAAACCTCACATGCACTGCACTGCAGTGCCATGTCATTTGTGAACGTTATCATGCTAACACACTGACAGTACAGAACGCCATAAAATTAACGATTTAAAGAGCATAAACCTTCTCAACGCAACCAATTTAGCTTTGCAAATTTTCACTGTACATTGTAGCCTCAACATCCCAGCATGTATAGATGTCTACTAGCAATACGCCGGCAGTCCAAATCTTTCTAACAGTAAAAAATCCATGTTTAACCCGCCTCTGAGGACAAAAAGGGTTATCGCGACACTTACTCCTTCCATTGTCAGCAGAAAATTACATTCATCGCCCTTTCAATAAAGCCATAAAATGCTAGTCACCGCTGAAACAAAAAACAATGTTTTTCAAATCGCTCCATCAGACCATGTCCTCCAGAAAATTTCTAAAATCTGCTCTGTGCCCATTGACCTTTCGACCTGTGACCTCCATTTCGGCACAGTGATGCTTTTGCCTACCATGACGCTTACACCGATATCACAAGCCTAGGTCGACCGTTTCGATTTGTGGCCGGCAATCTGCATTTCTCCTAGTACCTTAATAAGAGAATTCTCCCCCTTCTTTTACACCTCTGACCTACTGACACATTTGACCCCCCAGCTTCCGACATCCAACTCTTTCGGATTACCCCGCGTCCCACAGTCCCGACATTTGACAGGTCCGACTGGTCCGAGCCGTTTAGATTGCGACCACAAACGTCTGACGGACCACAGACGCCACGGACGGACACGATCGCCCACACGCCATGCAGCGAATTCTACAAGCTAGATAGCCTAATAAATACTCGAAATCTATTTTACATACGTCAAAGTCACCGCGAATCTAAACCGAAAATGCCACGCTAGCCAGCGAAATTACGCTCGAGCGCGGGCAGCTAAACATCGCGCAGTTTTTCGGACACGTTACACCGGCTCGGCTACGGTGACTATCATTATATTATATAAACTCATATTTGCATTAATTCATGAAACTAATACCTGTAACTAGAACAAAAATTCAGAGACACATTCTGATACAAAGGCGTGTTAGACTGTTAATCTTTTATGTTCTTTAAATATACACGACCCACTCGCGCCGCGCGTTCCCGCGCCGCAAAAAATACCCTCCCCCCGAGCCAGCCGCTTGATTTTACGGAGATGCAATTCGACGATGCCCGCTACCACGTGAGCGCGGGGGAGGGAAGGAGAACGGCTTGGAAGTTCGCGCTCCTCACGAGGCGGGTCTCGTAACCAAGAGAACATGTACGCCGATATATAATTATTTTGCCTGCGTCAGCTAGTCGGCGTAATGATAGGTACCGAAGTGGACAGTCAAACGTTGTAAAGACACGTAGACGAGGACGGTTCTAAGCATCAACCCACATAGAGCCTATCCATAACATAAGCTGCTGTCGAAAATGTGGTAACTGGCTATCCCTCCCGCGTGCGAGTGACGCGCAACGTGCAGCACTAGTGTTGGAATAGTGTTACGATTAGGGTTAGTCAACGTAGGGTTAGGGTTAGGAATTAGGGTTAGGTAGGATTAAGGGTTAGGATAGGGTTAGGATTAGGGTTACGTTCAGGATTAGGGCCTAGGTAAGGTTTTGCATCATGATGAATGTAATGACCAATCAGAATAAAATAATTATAGGAATCACAAGGCCTATCATAGTAGCGCGGCGAACCCATCATATATATGTTTAGTGCGAAGTGTATTTTTTGGCTGGGGTGGGAGTAGGGTTACGTTAGGCGTTAACCATTTTGAAACTCATCGTCAAAAAGTATCACCGTGACCTCCCTCCACGCCCGGGGGTGATAGCAAACCCCGAAAAATGTTGTGCGAACGTCAAATCACGATGTGTGCCTGCAGACAGTCGGTAAAGCATCGTAGCAAAGTCGATCTAAAAAATACAATTATTTAAAATTAATTGTGTAAAAAAAAATAATTAATTATTTTTAAATTATTATTTTTTTATTATTTTTTTTTTCGTGCTTTCATTTCCATCCTTGGAAATCGTATAAAATTCAATACATGACTCCTCAAGAATGATGGTTACCAATCGCGTCCAAAAACACGACCAGGCGTTCAGAAAGAAGGCGCAGTAAAGGCTCACAATGCGGCATCCGCTAAACGCTAAATTCTAATCCCAGTATCGTAGACAAGCAAACACTTAGTGTCATGCATAATCGATACGACTTACGTGCAAAATACAACTCATAAGTCTCCTCCCATTTCACTGCGCGTTGTCTTATAAAAGGTATTTTGAAAATACCTCCAATGTTGTTGAAATTGAAATTGTCATAAGGTAGTGTGATTATGCATGACACGAAGTATTTGCTAGTCTAGTACTGGAGAAATTAGTATTTGGATGCGCATTGTGAGCCTTTAACGAAGACATGTACGGCGCTCCACGTGGGCTGGCATATGAGCATATGAGAGTGTAGAACCAGTAGGTTCGTTGTCATGCCACCATGACGTCATCACTTCGGAGCTCTATAGTAGGATTAGCTACGTGTAAATACTGCCACGGCCACGCCAGCACGTGCTCGCACAACATGCCGTCACCACGGGCAGCGCGGGGTCAAGAGGTTGATAAAAACCTCGCACGTACGCAGCCAGGCTTTTGGAGATAGCATCTAGACCGCGCCAGCCCACGTGGAGCGCCGTACATGTCTTCGTTAAAACCTCTGTGATAGACGTAACGCTATACTCGGCAGTAGCGCACGTCATCGCGTAGCGGCCAATGAGCGAGCGCGTCATCGCTGATTGACGGCATTTCTTGGAGTTTCTTGTAGGAGCCACTACGTCTTAGCCATGAGGCGCGCCACCCCAAAAAAAGTTTAGGGGCCGTTTGGAGATGGCCTCAAGCCGTCCATCCCGAAATGTCGGTTGGACTGCGCCCAGTTTTCGCGGAGTTCGTTTTCAGATCCCTGTCTAAAGTATCTGTCTAAGGGGACAAAAAGGGGGCGGCGTATTCGCTGTTGGGGCGCGGCTTCGCCGCGAGCTGTGCGCTGCGCGCAAAAACCGGGGCCGCAAGTCCGTCTAGATACACACCCGGCCATCAAGCTGATATTGGACCAATATTGGCAAAACAATATTGGGCCAATATCACCAGGCCAATATTGGACCAATATACGCAAATATTGATCCAATATCGGCCCAATATTAGCAAAACAATATTGGGCCAATATCACCAGTCCGATTTGGACCAATATCTGCCTATATTGACAGGACAGGACATAACCGAAATGTGCAATATTGCAACAGGGTATACCTTTTAGTGCAGTGTATTGGGACAGCAGAGGTAGAAATTAACTTTTGAATACAGGAGTCCAACAGACTCCCTACCCTCAAAAAGACGGAGTCCGCAGTCTGAGGTTCAAAATTAAAGATATTAACAATAACGCATACATGTGCTTATTTTTAAGATTCATGCAGTTGCATGTCTGCCAAATTTTCTTTGGACATTAGCTGAAAAAATACAATAATTCCGCGAGGCCGTGCTCTAGAACGAACTAGTTAGTATGGCAGAATTTTCAGGGAGTCGCACGGACTCCTGCATATATCAAATCAGGGAGTCCGACAGTAAATCAGGGAGTATTTGACTCCGTACTCCCGATAATTTCGCACCCTGGACAGGGTGTATTTTAGGGCGCAAAGTGGTTTGCAGCAGGGTCAGGTTTTCAAGGTCCCGGAGGCACCCCCTTACTCAGTTCTGAGGCAAGTACCCCCCCCCCGAGAGTACACTCAATGACACTGACAATGACAACAGTAAGAAGTTGCAGTTATAACCTAGATCAAGAGTACATAATAGAGATTTTACAAATTATTACATAATACAAAATCTCTATTAGTATTATGTACTCTTGCCTAGATACCTTTCCCATGCAATGTGTCACGCAGATACGTGCTTTCCATGACACATGACGACTGTTTGCGTTTGCTTTCATCTTTGCTAAGACCAAGTTTCATTTCATTCAGAAATATTTCTTGCACCTGCTTTAGAGTGTCATCTGACAGTCGAAACCCTCCTACATACTTTTCCACCTGTCAAATATAAAAAAAGATAATAATATGATAGATATATATATATAATATAACAATGGGTAGAGTATAGCCGAAAACCTGCGCTGTCTTGCACGACCAACATATTGCACTAACCCCAGCACAGTAGGTATACTGAGACTGATAATAACTGTACGACTAAATTTTTTGCCACGATTGTTCTCATAATACAAGCAATAGTAAATCAAATGTAACTTTTTGCATCCTATTGCATGTGACTACATTCGAGTTTAACCCTACCCACCGCCTTGGTTTAGGCTTACATACACAACATGCATGCAGAAAATGTGGCATATTGATATAGGTGGAATTTGGATGTGGAATAGTTTATTAGGTATGCTGTGCAGGATGTATCATGTACAGGCTTTCAGATTTGAAAAGTACAGGAGGACTACTAATGACTCCCCTAGGACACCATAGGGGGTCTTTTCACACTCCATAATCACACCCTTAAGAGGCATGATGGAGAGCTCCATTAAAAATCACACTTAAAGGCAAATGATGGAGAGGCTCCATTAAAAATCACACTTTAAAAGGGATGATGGAGACGCTCGATTGAGGCTACGCACATGCTCTTGGGGTCCCCGCGCATGTGAGATGGAATCATGACCAAATCCTTCAGTCTACAGTGAAATCCATAGACGAAAATTGGTCAGTGTCATGTCAATCTAACTGTTATCATTCATGTCTTGCACCTTCCATTCTAATTCAATGGCTTCGTCCAGGATTACATTCTTTTCATTCCACAACATCCAACACTAGCAACAGATTATAAAAGAGTTGATTGGATGTAAAAAATAAACTTGTTTTATTTATTCTGATTTCCATCCTTAGAGATTCTAAATCCATGTACCGTGCATATTTCAGCACAAAATATCATCAGCAATCCATCAACAACTAGCCAAATTACTTGTACGTAGTAGCGCACGTATGTAGCCCCTCCAGCCCTACGACTGTTTCCACGTCGGCAGAAAACACACTTCTTGCCACGTATAGTGAAAAAACGAGCAGGTAACTGTGGCTACCGTATAGGTACCTGTATTTGGATTGCTGTTGTTAGTTGTATTTTTATATATATATATAAACAAGGGTAGTAACCAGACCCTGTACCTCTGCCATACGTTCGAGCTTCTACACACCACAATTGTTGTGTGTTGCTAACCTTTTGTCCCCCCTACATTGAGAATCTATGGAGCGCTATTTCAACATAATAGACATAATTTTTGGTGCGCGATTTCAAACCACTTTTATGAGGCGCGATGATGGCCCACCATGGCATCAATTTCGGGTTGCGCGGTGCGGCGAGCCGCGATCGCGCCCTTAAAATGAAATGCCTGCACGGGCTTGAAACTAACCTATAAATGTATCACTAGCCAGCAGGGTAGTGATCTGTAAAGAATCTACTAGCCGCTTAAAAGATATCTCCCAGGCCTTCATTACTTAAGTGCCGCGCTGAGGCTACGCAATGTGAGTAATAGATTTTTGCCATTTGCGGGGAGTGGGGGGGGGTGAGGTGAGGTTGGATGTGGTTTTGAATTTAAGACCAGTCGCGAGATGCATTCTGCAAAATGACTGTGAAAATTTAGATTCAGCATATATTTCAGTATATATAGTATATATATATATATATATATATATATATAATAAACATAATATATTATATTATATATCAAGAGCTAATAATACCTAGAGTGTACCGGTGGAAATATATGCCATTACCGGCACATATTATTGCTACTTTGTATGCGGCGGTTCTAGACTAAGTTCATGTATTGCCGTTAAGCGCACCTTTGCTCTCTAAAATAAGACCGAACGCGATTGTCTCTACGATACTCCTAGGCCCGAAGAAACTATTTGGAGCGTAATCATGCCTCCACAGGCCTCAGTAGAAAATATGCCGGTTGAAATTAGGCACTATTTCCCAGTTTGTTCAAATGTACACTCTAGGTGATAATTAGCTCTTGATACTATTTACTACCGTGCTCAATTTTAAGGTTTTTTTTGGGTTAGTCCGGAGGAAAGGCCGCAAGAGATGATAGCATAATGGTTTGTCCCTACAAGATCTTTTGTCGCGGATATATTAAACATGTGCTCGCATGCTCTGCTCACTGTGATGCTGCAGTGCTGTAAAGAAAAAGGCCTAATATGTACATTTTGTAGTATTGCAGTGACAGCAGACATGGCCAGTCGCATTGTTTCACATCATTATATCAAGAGAGATAAAGAAAGGTCGCTTCTTATATATGATAAAGATAAAGAAGTCTTCTTATCTGCTCTTGATTATATAAGATAATAAAATATTGTAAAATGTGGTAAAGTATGTGGATAATGAACGTATAATAATTAGAATTAATATTGCTGAAATCTATTTCATAACACTTACATTAAGTTAACTAAACTACTCCATTACTAAACATTGTGTCAAATCAACAGAATGAGTAAAATTGAAAAATTAGACACGGAGACATTGTGTTAAAAAACCATGTGTTAAAAACGAAACAATGGTTGTTTAAACACGTGAATGTTATACGTTTATCAAGGAAGCCAGACAATGCGTCTAGAATTAAGTTTGCAGCGTATTGTGCAATACCTTTGGCCGTAATGTAAAGATGGAACAGCGTGCATTAGTGAATATAAAAATTCCAACTCGCGCAAAGGCTGGGTCCAGACCAGTACATTCACTAGCCCTTACTGATTCAAACTAGCCTCGCGAAAGCGGGCCGAGCGTTATAGTTCCAAGCGCGCCTCTGCATGTAATACACAGCCGTAAAAATACTTTTTTATTTACGAGCTCTTTTTATTATTTTTGGTATGAAAAAAGAGGCTCTCAGAATTTGTTAACCTAGGAGGCTTATTTTAAGTTTGATCCAGAGCTGACCTTTTTTCATAGAGATTTTGCTTAAAATTATTCATAATTTGATGCCTGACTCTATATAATGTCTCAACCAGAAATTGTGTCGATTATCGTAAATAGGTGTTCCAAACAAAATTAAGATATGCTTGGCGAAATCGGGCCAGGTCACAATATTACCTCAATGTGACAAAATCACGGAGGTCTGGTTACATGTTCTGTAATGCATGTTGTGTACAAAGTAATGTACTGCATGCACTGATTGTCTCATTCGGATTGTTTTTTTAATTCAAATCTCGTTATGTCTGGCCATTTCAAAATAAAACAATGCCGGCATAGCGACAGCGCTCATCCAAACGTCTACTTCGTGACTCTGTTGGAGTGGTGGGATTAGAACCTGTTAGTCGCAAATGTGTTCACATAGCACGCCGAAAAAGTGGAAGCACAGGATAGTATCAAGGAACCTTCTTCAAAAGATGTCGTGGGATCAGTTATCAAGTTGCCGAAGATGGCGGCGTACGTTAAGTGTCTTCAGATAAAAATGGAAGGCTCCATTACCATATGTAGTTACAACAACTATCTGGGGCAAGACGAATGGTAGCAACTCATCCATTTACCTAGCAAAGCTCTACAGGCTGCGGCATAGAGAGCTGCCACTGCAACCTGAATAAGGCAAAAACTCCACAGTACCACAACACATGCACCTGCCACTGAGTGCACTACATGTACATACGCCTACATGAATGCCATATAAATTTATACCGATTTAAGGAGCATGAAATTTTTTAACCAAAATTAGCTTTTGAAATTCTCACTCGTACATTGTACCTTCATATCATCCACATGTATAGATCTACTATGCAACCCGCAGTCCAAATTCTTTCTAACAGACGATCAACAAATCATGTTTAACCCTCCTCTTTGAGGTAAAAGTATCGACCTTACTCTCGCACTGAGTGGAAGCAGAATTTTAATGGTCCTTTCAAATAAAGCAATAAAAAAATGATAGGTACCGCTTGAAACAAAAAGTTTCCAATTCGCTCGTCAGAATCCCATCTCCTCAGAAAATGTCCTAACAATCTGCCCTGTCTACATTTGACCTTGTGACCTGTGACCTACATTTGTCCAGTGATGCTTTTCCTACCATGATGCTAAAGCACGCGACTCACGAGCTAGGTCGAGCCTATGTTAGCATTGTGCCTTGTTGATATTCTGGCATTCTACTCATACCTCTTATGTAAGGAGTGAAATTGTTCTCCTTCTATTTACAACTCTGACCTTTGACCTTTGACCCAGCATTCGACATATCCCAACTCGTTGACAATGTCCACCCCAACGACTTCCGAATAGTCGTGACGGGTACGTGAGCGGATTAAGATTTGTGCCAACTGTTGACTGGCCACGCGGGGTAAGACCGGACCGAACCGGATCGACGGACGATTCAAGCGATTCTACAAGCTGCAATCTTGACTAGTCAGATGAGTCTAAAAAATTGCTTGCCCCACAGGAAAGTGAGGCAAATTCAACTACTGGCCTGCGGGGTGAATTTTGGTTGCCCCCGGCCCACGGGCAAGCGAGTTTGTCGACACCGGCACCGCAGGTTCGAATTTCGGCTTGAAAATTCTAGTGACAGCAGGAACCACACTGAACTTCAGAAAGTTGGTGACCTGCACATGTAAAATTTGTGTTTAGTTATTTACTGAGCATGAGTACAAAATAGTATATAAGATATAAAAACCATTGGGAAATAAAAAGGTCAATACGCATGAACAAGGAAGTTATATGAAAGACAATAGTGTCTTCATTAACTCTTGATTTATACTTTAATTAGAGTTTGGTCAAATAAAGTTTTCAATTCTCTAGGATGTCGGGGGAGCTTTCTTGGTAAGGTTTTACTTCGTTTCTCTTCCCAGTCCACGGTACCAATTCCCATGAATAGATCTATCAATGCGCGCATCATCCAAAGTTAACATGCTAGAAAACCTCATGTACTCGTAAATTAACCTCAATTTCTTGAATAGATAGTTATAAAATGTGGCAACATTTATTTCATGTGTTAGAAATACTAAATATATAACTTGAGGATAAGGGTGTTGTGCAAATAGTCCTCTTGTAAACATGCTGAAAGGCGTGCTGTGTATGCTGCCATTTTATTAATCAGCGTAGCTTTGATAATTATGTGATACCGGTACGCCCTAGCGGTGATTGTGCATGTCCTCACCGATTTGTCGCGCAGCCGATTGAGAACTAGAACATGTTCTATTACCTGCGATCGCAGTAGCGACCAGTATTTTTCAAGTCGTAAGAGAACATCATGTGCGATTAACTCGGGACCCATGGCCGGTTTTTGACGATACGAATATTATATAATCTTTTCGGCGACTAGGTTCGTAAGGCCGAACATAACGGGGCTTTATTGAGATATCGTTACGTATAAAGACGGCGATCGCCGATATTCATCGGCTGACCTCAACTCTCGAACAATGAGTTGCCTTACGATTCGAGAATACGGTCGCCGACTGCGATCGCAGAATAGAACAGTTCTATTTCTATGCGTGGCTGTCGGCAACAAATCGTGAGTGGCAGCCAATCACCGCAGCGTGTGACCTAGCTTGGGTAAAGCCAGGTAGTTAGACTTTTAGCCTAGACTGTGTGTTGCAGATGACCATTTGACCGGCATTTACAGGTGATTATAGGCGAAATAGAGTAGAGAAACATTAAGACTTTCGTAGTAAATACATTTCGTGTTTATTTACCCTTAAATTTAATGCATTTATTATTATTTATTTTTATTGAGACGTTCCAAGTGCCTGTGATGTTACTATTGTTAGCTCTAGTACTGCTCAAGGGGTCGTTGTCGTAACAGGTACTACAGATATGTACCCGAGGTACATATATGTATACACAAAGTGTACCAGATTTGTACTACAGAAGTGTACCCTAAACCTAACACTAACCCTAACCCTAAACATACCTCATATAAAAATATAAACATAATACTAAACAACCTAAAACTACCTCGGGTACATATCTGTAGTACCTGGCTGTTACGACAACGACCCTTCGTGCTCTAGTAGTAATAGTAGTAGTAGTACTAGCTATAGCCCGCGTTCATTAACTGCGGCAGTTAATGAACGCGGGCTATAGTACTAGAGCTACCGTGATGTTAGATACAATAATGTAACCCGAACCCAGGATAGACCTAAACCCTATCCTGGGTTTGGGTTACATTTGGGTTACATTATTTATTGTATCTACTGTCACTGTGATGTAGGCCCTACGCGGCTACGGCTACGACGTGTCATCTAATCTGGAATACGAGGTAATTTCAGTCTAGCGGCTATGAATATGGCGTAGACCCTTACGTCGGCAACCTTCTTTGGATCATCCAGCTGAAGAGATGACCAAGTGACATCCATTCTAAAATATTACAAAAAATTACAAGGAATTACAAGGAATATGTAGAACTTATTAGAGCACCGGCAAAAACAACACTCAACAGCGCCGTCTACACAGTTGTCCCTGAACTAGCTCCAAGCATAGATACAACACATCAGAGATTCAAGGCATAGCAAACTAAGCAAAACAAGGACCGCAATGTAAATAAGTGTGCTAGTCATGCTTTTTGTGTATATATCCTTGGTAATTATCCAATTTTATGAATTCAAATTTTTTATTGTAAAAGTATGCAATGTTGAATGTATTGTATATGATGGATAATTGCCTAAATAAATAAATAAATAAAAAATAAAAATAAAAATTACTGCTATGGCTCAGATGCTCTCAGAATGCACCAATATTAGCTTATTAAAAGTAACAGAACCTCAGAAAAATTAAGCGAGAAAACGTGCCCTTTATTTTTATTCTTGGACAACCCCCCTTTCAAAAATCCTGGATCCGCCCCTGATCATGCAGTCTGTAACAAACACATGTGTTTGTATATATATATATGCCTTGAACAAGTGGTGTAGGCCTACGCATAGAACTATATATATACATATCATAACATATGTATGTATTTCTATGGATGTACGTAGGGTACCTATATACAGAGGGTCCCCAGATGTACGTATAGGAGTGTTTCATGTTGATAAACATTGACGTCATATGCGCACATGCGCAGTTTAACGGTTGGCAGCAAGCAGATGCGTGATATTGTTCGATACAAGCACACGCACGCACGTGTACGTACACACGCACGCACACACTCATGCACGCACGTGCACGTGCACACGCACGCACGCACGCACGTGTACGTGCACGCACGCACGCATGCACGCACGTGTACGTGCACACGCACGCACTCACGCATGCACGCACGTGTACGTGCACACGCACGCACGCACGCACGCACGCACGCACGCACGTCTACGTGCACACTCACGCACGCACGCACGCATACACGCATGTGTACGTGCATATGCAGGTACGCACGCACGCACACACGCATGCACGCACGTGTACGTGCACACGCACGCACGCACGCACGTCTACGTGCACACGCACGCACGCACGCACGCATGCACGCATGTGTACGTGCATATGCAGGTACGCACGCGCG